ACCTAAAACATTGTTTGAGAACTAGCTAAAATATTTCAATCTAATTTGCTAAAATATTCTTCAAACAACTGAGATAAATGTATTTTTGGACGTTTCTAAAAGTGCAGTTACTTACAGGGCCTATCATGTCCCCAGAAGATCATTTGTTAATCTTTTCATAATCTTAATCATAATTTGATATAATAACTTATAAACATGTGTTAATTATTGTGGAATGGTGAGGAAGGCAATGGGAAAAAACAGCCATTGAAGTTTAATTAGAAAGGGGGAAAAGTATATGGTAAAATCAAGTAAAAGAGCGGGAAGGTTCCAGCGTCTAGTCCAAATCTCTTCTGAATTGTATTCAAAACAATTAAGAATTCTAAGACTGGTGTAAGAGGCTTGTAATGAATGCAGGATTGCCAAATCTTAAGAAAAACTAGCACGAGACTTATGAAAAATGCCAGTTATCATAAGGCCGTCATGTCTGTATCAAACCTCATTAAATCTTACCATCTGTATTTTTTTTTCCTAAGAATTTCTCATGGCTTGTTGAAGTTAAAGGCAGCCTCAATGCTACAACAATTAGCAGTTTATTGTTCAGGGATTTAACCTGGTAAAGCTGCAATAAGGAACCAAAGGCACCTAATAAAAAGATTCAAGTGTGGTGAGCCTTAAGCTGGCCAAACACCTACAGATTTTCGATGGGAAATTTTCGTTGCTGCCAAAAACCCTCTTTCGATTCTAGCTCAAATAGTCCATCACGCACAGACCAGTCGATTACGATAATAATTCATAAGCAATACTAACTCACCAAATTTTGTCGATCGACAGAACGGATTTTCGTTTGCGCATGTGAAGTGTTATGCTGCAACACTCATTTTTTTGCCACTAATCCCTCGATTTTTGTACGATTCAAAAAAAGTTGTCCCATCAACTGTTTGGCTATCGTTCGAAAGACCATTCGTGGAAGATTTCCGAATGCAAATCGAAGACTGTATGGACTCCTAAAGAAAGTGCTTCGTTTGCGCATGTGCAGTGTTCTTGTTGTGATTTTTTTTCGCCACTAATCCATCGATTTTCGGCGATTAAAAAAAGTTTTCCAGCCTCACCCTTCAAGAAAAATTTGAGTGGGATTACAGTAAAAAAAAAAATAGTTGGTGTCCCATCAACTGTTCGATTATTGCTCGAAAGACCATTCGTGGAAGATTTCCGAACGCAAATCGAAGAGTGTACGGGCTCCTTAAGAAAGTGTTTTAACATAGAGAACCAAGTGTAAGACGAGTAGTCATCAGATTTAGTAAAGCTGAACTCCAGCCTTACCTTCATGTCTTGCAGTTGTACAGGCTCCTCTCCTATACTTAAAATGCTCACACTGATTTCACTGCACACTGTGTGCTTCTCACAATGTCATTAGCATGTTGACGAAGGGAAGGGATGAACAAGAAAAGGCAAAAGAAAAGCAGATTAAACTTCAGATCTAATAGAAAGATCTTTCCCCCGCTTAACAAAACAGCCTAAAATATAAAAATGACTAAGGTGTGCAAAGAAAAAGCATATGTGTTGAAGAGCATAAGGGATGTCACTTGGGATTTTTTTTTCTTTAGAAGGGGTGATCCCATGTTTTATTTGAATACAGTAAAATAATGATTCTGGAATCTTAAGACGTCAACCTAAGATTTCTCTATATAATAAAAGATTGTACATTCTGTGATGTTTTAAACCAACCACCCAACAACGACAGGTGGGGGTCTTCAATGACTGATGGGAAAAGGGTATTGTACAATACTGACATAAATCGGGAGAGAAACAGAGATTATATCTGATTTATTTGTGGAGCATCATTTCTTTAAATTGTTAAACGTCGATTACTATTATATCTCATTCTGATCACCGGAGCTACCGTTCATTTTGTTGCGTTTAACAGCACATTCAAAATATATGGACTTCACCAAATAAACTACAATAAAATATTTATCTGCCAATGTGCGGTGTTGGGAAGGAGTCCTGCATTTTTAGTACCCTGTGTTGTCTATTTAAGTCAGTTAAATAGAATTCTTCCAAATCGGCACGTGAGAACATGTGCATATAGGTAGAAATTGTGGATTGTGCAATTCTCAGTTTGGCATCATGCCAGATAAGTGAAGATCATTGCATTGTACTGTTTTAACTGTTCTAAAGTATATGAGAAACTTAGACCTAAGGGGCATATGGCAACCAAGTGTATAGTAAAAAGACAAAAACAATAGACTAATATTAGCCTAAGTATTCATTTTTATACCCACACATTTGATAAACTAGGAAGGCCCAGTAAAGGAAAAGGCCAAAATATTCTGTGCAGAAGGAAAAAAACCACATGTTTTTTTTATTGTTATTAAACCGGAGATTCTGGAGAATGTATCTAGTGTAACCCAAAGGTTTGGTTACATGGATAGACAGATTAAACAGAATGAACATCTGCAAATAAGCCAAGGTTATAATGTATAACAGTCACATCAACCCTTTGATATTTTCATTATTTTTCATTAATGCTCTAGAGGTTTAGCTTCTAATACAAACATGAAAGGGTAGAGAAAATTCCTGTTGGTGTATACATAGAATGGTTATGGTCAGATGATTTGCATAGCTCATGTGCTAAACACTGGTTTAGATGAAGGCTTGGTTCCTTTTAGCCCATGGCAACATAACCTGTCTTTTTACACTTTCTCATCGTTCAACAAGCCCTACTTGATAGACTCCATTGTTTCCATGTACTGCACTGGAGATGACCTGAAACAGCTGTGTACAGGTTGGAATAAATGTCATAATATACCCTAACTGTACGGTAAACCATATACTGTATGGAACAACAGTTGGTCCACTGCTAAAAATTAACTATTTGCATTGCTCCACTCATGAGCCTAAAATAAGAAATAAACACCTTATTTATTACATTTATGATTGAAGTGAGACCTGCAGATACCTTGTTTTTAGAAGGCTCTATCACACTAGAATAAAACATAACGATGAGCAAAAACCTGAATAAGGAGAGAATTATTTTAAGTCACCACTTTACTTATTTATTTCTCACAGGCATGTGAATAGTTTGTTTTAACAATTAGGTTGCTCCTCAAAAAGGACACTAATCTCAGGAGTTAAATCTTAAAAATACATTCAAGTACCTTAATTATTAACAAAAATGTATCCTATTTGTGTATTACTCAGCTGTAGATCTTCAAATCATCTCTGAATTTGTGCAGACACTGTGCTTCCTACAAGCTCGCTCCTGTGATGGACTACAGTCTCATGTTTAGTTTACTCATTTGTATGGAGATCGTAGACCACCATGGGAAGGAGCTCGGAGCGGTGGCTACTTGACAACACACACCATGGGGAACAAGCATAACCACCTTCCAGAAGGAAGGACAGTGTCATCACCAACTCAGAGGTGATTTGAGGATCTACATTCGCATGATAAACAAATAAGCTACATTTTTGTTAATAGTTAAGGTACTTGAATTAATTTCTAGATTAAACTCGAGTTTAGTGTTGCTTAAACTTTGTTGCACAGGAGTAGCTCAAGTTCTGTTAATGTAAAGTCAACTTGTCTTGATGAAGGGGGCGTGCCCCGGAAACGCGTCGACACAGCAGTGCTTTATACAGGACACGCTATCCGGATCTTTTTATTGCTCTGGTCATATTGTCCAACGGCTTGTTTTTATCTTCAACATAGTGAGTACCTGTCCATTCACCTTTATGCCTGTCTGTCTTTTTGGATTAAATGATATTGCACCAGGAAAGGCGCCTCTTCTTTTGTGTTTTTTAAAGTCAACTTGTGGCTTAATAGGCTGCAGACTTGATTCACAAAGCTAAAAACACCCGAATACAGATCGTAATTTTCAAAACAAGTAACAGTTATGGTCAGCCAAGTCTAACGAGATTTAAAAATTAGGAGTCACTGTTCCCTCTTTTCTGTGCTGGAAGAAGGGGGACCACTCTCCTATTCAAATGGCTTTCCGAGACAGTAATTTGGGCTCCAGCTCTGTTTTAACTTTACCCCTTTTCCGGGTTGCTGGTTACAATTACAAGACTTTGTTCACCAGCTTGCCTCCAGCGAGTTATTAATCTCACGTGCCCCACTCAATATAGCCGCCGCTTGAGTGGGGCAACTCAGAATAATAACGTGCTGGATTAGTGTGATCCTAGTTCATTTTATTACTTCATTGCTGTGCTGTATGTGTATAGGCCAATGTCTTGGCTGGCGCTCGTGCAGAACAAGTTTCTTGGGTAAACCTCTTATTTGTAACGAAACCGGAAGTCAGGCGTTCCCAGAACTCGATAAGTTCTCAGTGTCGACAGATCACCGGCCCAAGTGGCAAGAGGTGAGTGTTTTCATTACTGATCAAAATAATTTTAACCGATCAAAATAATTTTAACGATTAAATCGAGTAATTAATCCACAGCCCTAAAAAAAAACCAAACCTCCGTTTTTATTATAGGCTGACAAATGTACTGTTAAATTGAAAGCAAAAAAAGTTTCATTTTTATGCAAGTATTATTCACAATCACACTATTAAATAGCATCACAGATGACCACTGCAGCCTAAAGGTGACAGTGCTCATGTGCAGGGCTTTTGTTAATAAAGCCTCCAGCATGTGTGTGATCACTAGGTCAGGGCCAACATAGTGACTACACGATCCCAAACCACTCTATTTGGATCCCTGTAGTCAGTGGGGACACTGGCTGTTATTGTCAGCCAGGATTGAGAGCCAGCTGCTGGCTCTCACAGGGGAGAATGTCTATGAACGTTTCCTGGGCAGGGCGCAACGTGCCTGGTTCAGATAACTCCTGTCCAACAAAATGAAAACTTAAAGGTGATAGGTGACACAAAATGCAGTATACACACACATATACGTATATTCTTAACTATGCTGAATCTAAAAATGTAACAGTGTAACAGTACACTTTATGGTTTAAGTTACCTTGATGCAAAAGGAAGACGGCACCTTATAAGAAAAAGTAACTTTATTTGATGTCTTTGCACATTTGGAGAGAAAAAGTGTCATGGCATTAAACTATACCATATCTAAACATTTGTACAAGTGATTGAATGCAATGCATTGTCATTCAGCAACATCAGCCCTTTATAATTTGGGCAAACTTGACCAAAATCAGGAAAATAATGCTGAAATGTGAACAAAAACATATGCATTTTCCTGGCATCCACTGTTGAACCAAACACCAACATCCCAAATTATTATTTAGGAAAGCAGCATATATTCCCATATACCAACATAAAACTGTAGCACAACGTCCTTAAGGGAAGAGCACAATTTGGCCATGTCAAAGTGTATATTTTGCTTTCCAGAACAATGTAGGTTCCCACATTTCAGGGCTAGCACGTTACACCAAACACAAATCCATAGCTTGGTGGCCAAAGGAAACTAAAGTCCAGACTTTTCATTCCTATCTGTTTTAGTGGTCAGGCAAGTTTGGAGGGTGCACGGCTCAATAAAGGCTCATTAGAAAACGCCATATCCAAAATAAAGGTATATTCTGCCATGTTTTCACATTTCTAGTTAGTTCACAGATCATATAAGCCACGTTCCCAAATTCAGCTTTGAAGACTTACTGAAATACACAATTCCTTGAATGAGGCAATCAGTTGTAATAAAAAAAATGATATATAAGAAAACAAAACCAGCTTATTCAAATAGGCGATCAGAGTCCATGCCCTCGCATTTTTCTATTTTGTCAAAATGAAATTCGTATTACTGTACAAGGGGCATTTGTAATCATGACACAGTGCAAGCTTATCACAGGGTTTGACAGATGTGCAATATAACTTGAGCATTCATCACAGTAGGTCAAACAGAGCTGAGTTTTACAAGACCACGCACAGAGTCTTCATGCAAAGAGTCTTGGCTGACGAGGTTGAGGACATGCATGGTATGGCTATGAGTTACAGCGCTGTTTGCTGGCAGCATTCCCGAGGGTGAAGGTGCTTCATCTGGCGTTAAGAACTGATGATTTCCAATGTCCTCTTTTAAGGGTATCATATCTGTCAAAACAGTTTCTGAGTTAAGGTTTGGGATTGAAGATGGTGGTGTTGGCTGGCCAAGTGCCATAGTGGCGCATGGGGCGGTTATGGTGGTTTTTCCTGGCAAAGGTGGTTCATCAGCAGGTATCGTAGGTTCAGCTTGCAGGAGTGGTGTGGCTGCAGCCTGCAAAACGAATTTGGTGCTCTGAATGCACTGGTCTTGGTCACACTGCAGAACGGAAGGGTATGGAGGAATACAAATATAAAAACAAAAAAGGCATTCCAAAAAAAATAAATTAAATTATGGGCAAAAAGTAGAAGGTAGTTGGATTTAAAGGGAAACATAAAAAAACATTAAAAAAAAGAGAATACAGAAAGGTTAGCAGTATGCTTCAGCAGACATAGGACAGTTGATCTTAAATCAGTGAAAAAACTGCTTTAAAACCCACCATATAAACAAAACACACAGGTTTTTACTTCTGTCATTCTCTAAGCTTGCCAGAAATATGAATACCTATGAAAGCATGCATAAAATAACCAGTTGGTAATGGTGTGTGTGGTCTGAAATGCCACACTATTTTCTGAGAAGGATTATGTATGAAATGATCCTACATCCCTCATCAACAATACAGTTCAAATTGGCTAGTACCATTTGTAAAATAGGTATTCTGGGTGAAATAGAGAAAGCGGCTTTTTAATGCTATTACATGGATTTAACTTAGACGGTAACTACAGTGTTCAACACTGTATGTACAAATTAAACGCTAGCTTCTTATTGAATACTAATCTACCCTCACTGGATTACCATAGAACTGTATGTAAAATGTACAATTCAACAACTGAGACACAGTCTTATAAGCTAAATTAAAGGAGAACTATGAGGTGAGTGCTTTCCACTCACCTCAAAGTTCTAGCAGACCTGTGACAATGAGACTGTCACAGGTCGGCTTAGTAGATCGGGAGGTTAGCGAACACATACCGGGGTTCGCTCACCTCTCGATCCTGTCACGGCTCTCTGCCGTGATAGGGGAGGGGCTGGATTCCCCCCTCCCCGCCAGCGCTGACTGGCTGAACGGACTGGGGAGGGGGCGGGTACAACTGGCTCTGACTCTAGATAGGCAGAGCCAGCTGTCAGTCAAGCAGCTGGGCGGATCCAGACATAATTGTCGGGATCCGCTTCAGCGTCTCAGTATACCGCGAGCAGCAGCTCACGGTATACTGCTGCATCTCAGTATACCACGAGCTACAGCTCGCGGTATACTGAGCCTAGGGTGACGGGAGGACGTTAGTTTGTGTCCTCCCGTTATCCTGAGAACTATGGGGAAAAGCCTTAACCTCATAGTTCTCCTTTAATTACACATTTACTGAATCTTTTATCCTTGATTCAATAAAATGGTCAGTGAACAGAAATTTCACTGATGGCGCTAAATGCCCTGCAGTAAATTTACTACACCGTTGCCACCATGTCCAGCCATGTAGTCATTAGGACTACAGGGAAGGATGCTTACATGCACAGAGTAGGAAGGTAATTGAAATTATCACTCATGAGAACCCTCCTCCTCAATGCAAGTCAGTACAGTACATGCCCAGCTCCACTCTCATGCATTATGTACATAGCCTGGTGAGAAGAGTGAGAATTCCTGCTGAGCATTTGCAGAAGTCAAGCCTGGACTGCTCCTCCTGGCTATGTTGCTGTGACACAACCTTCAGAACCTGTGATGACATAAGTTAAGAAGGTGGTTTCAAAGTTTCAGGTTCAAGGCACGTCAATAAAAAATAAATACATTTAAAAAAAAGTTAAACGCTAGACAGTTCGGGATTCACAAAAACATGGTTTTGTAACCCTCTTATAACTGTAAATGCATTACACCACCTGCCAACACTGTAAATATAATATGTCGACAACCTCAAAACTCATCTAAAGCCACTTCAGTATTTCCCCAACTCCACTATCTTTACTGATATTTATATTTCTGCTATATGCACCATACTAATCTACTGTATATGTTTCTCACTTGTGAAGCAATTTCTGCTTTACCTTATATGAGGTGATGCCTCATATCCCTGTCCTCGATTAAAGGAGAACTATGGGGTCAGGGCTTTTCCCCATAGTTCTCTTTAGGGTAACGGGAGGACACAAACTAGCGTCCTACCGTTACGCCAAGCTCAGTATACCGCGAGCTACAGCTCGCAGTATACTGAGACGCCGCAGCGGATCTCGACATTGATGTCGAGATCCGCCCAGCTGCGTGAGTGACAGCTGGCTCTGCCTATCTAGAGGCAGCTGTACCCGCCCCCTCCCTTGTCCGTTCCGCCAGTCAGCGCTGGCAGATCGGAGCGGGGAGAGGGGAATTCAGCCCCTCCCCTGTCACGGCAGAGAGCCGTGACAGGATCGAGAGGCGAGCGAACGCCAGTATATGTTCGCTCACCTCCCGATCTACTGAGCCGACCTGTGACAGTCTCATTGTCACAGGTCGGCTAGAACTATGAGGTGAGTGAAAAGCACTCACCTCATAGTTCTCCTTTAACTTTAGGCATTGAAAACTATTTACAGAAAATGATCAAAAGGAGCCAGAACTAAGAATATATGAATAAAGCAAATAGCACACAGGAAGAGAAAACAGAATTATCTGCTAGTTAAAGTAGTTCCCCTCCCTTTCTAAAGGCTAACAAACTTTTTAAATACTCCCAGAACATCAGATATTCATTTTTTCTTAATTTTAACATAATTTTTTTTCTGTAAACCCAAAAGCCTTTTAAAGTAAAAGTTCTCCTTGCCGCAACAATATGTACTAAAAACCAAGACCAATTACAAATGTCTGAAATATCCAGGATAAACACTCAGTACTCATAACCAAGTAATTAGCTTGCCTGGTGCAAACGAGACATTGCCTGATCACAACACTAATAGGTGGAATAGCATCTGTTCTTCCCAGACAGATCCTGAGCTAATGATCTGTCAGGGGAAAGCTACTGAAGCCATTCCCTTATATAGCTTGCTGAGCAAAGTGAAAATTATGTCTTTCATCTGGACCTTCACTCATTTTATGTTGTCTGACAAATAATGGGCTATATATTTTACTGGGGAAGTCCATGCCTGCAGCATACACAGTAATTACTAAAAGGAAAGTAAACTAAAACAATGGTCACCAAGCTTTCTTACAGCAAATTTGTTTTGTTTACTTGTAAAGATGGCAATAAACATGGCATGGCCAATTACCAGGGAATTTAAAATCCATCATCAGAGGTGCTGCATGTATATACAAACTAAGGGCCTCAAAATCTAGAAATCAATCTGACATGCTTGAAAATTTTGGACAGTCTATTTAAAAGGAGAACTATGGGGTTAAGGCTTTTCCTTATAGTTCTCCTTAGGGTAACGGGAGGACACAAACTAGTGTCCTCCCGTCACCCTAGGCTCAGTATACCGCAAGCTGTAGCTCGCGGTATACCGAGATGCCGCAGCTGAAGCAGATCCCGACAATTATGCCGGGATCCGCCCAGCTGCGTGACTGACAGCCGGCTCTGCCTATGTAGAGGCAGAGCCAGCTATACCCGCCCCCTCCCCCGTCTGTTCCGCCAGTCAGCGCTGGCGGATCGGAGCGGTGAGGGGGGAATCCAGCCCCTCCCCTGTCACGGCAGAGAGCCGTGACAGGATCGAGAGGTAAGCGAACGTCGGTATGTGTTCGCTCACCTCCCGATCTACTGAGCCGACCTGTGACAGTCTCATTGTCACAGGTCGGCTAGAACTATGAGGTGAGTGAAAAGCACTC